CCCTAAACCCTGATCCCTAAATCCCTAAACCCGAAACCCTAACACCTCATACACCCAACGTGGACCATTTTTCTTCTCGCATCGAAGCTCTCTCCGTTTTCGTGCCATGATTTCAGAGTGATAATTGTTTATAGGGTTCAGGGTTTATATAAGATGCTTCAGGACGCTTCGTCCATTGTTTGCACTTTTTCTGCCATAAGATCTATACATTATACGGCGGCAAGAGCAGGATTAGTTCGGGCATCCGGCTGCAGCTGTTCCAAAGTACACACCAAGTCTATTGCAGAACCCTGATAGAACCAGAAATACCCGTAGTCAAACCCAGCTTTCCCAAAAGGTTGGCCTCTGGGAAGCTTCTTTGGGACTTGTCTGGCAGCTGCCGAAAGCAGAAGCTACTTTTGCGCAACGGCTAGGCTTAAGGTGTTGAGGCCTTCCGTTTAGGGTGTAGGGCGTGGGAAGGGAACGGCATGGTTGAAAGCACTTCCGCAGGCATAGCTGCTAGCAAAAGGTTTCGGGGTGGATCGAGGGAGTAGGGTGTGGTGTAGGGTCCAGTGGGGCCTAAGGCGGCTTGAAAGTTGGGGTGCCCGAAGTTGCATTTCTATTCGATGTGCCCGTCCGCTGTTCACATGAACTCGACGAACTGCTCTGCATGATGTCAGAGGCAGTCAAAACTTTTCTACCCGGCTCGGTTGCAGCGCGTGACTGCAACATCCAAAATTAACCCAAACCCTCGGCCCGAAACCTTTCTTGAGCCTCTCGTCAACCGAAAGTTCATGGAAAGCAGATACGCCTGGCTGTTCATGGATTCACCAAATCCCAGATTCGCGTATACCTGAGCCCCAATCTTCAGCCAACGCCTCAGGGGCTTCTATACAAAGCCCGCAATAGCTAGTGTTTTGTAGGCATTTCCTTGCGGTGGGTTTAGCAAGTTTACTAGCTAGGGGCCTTACAGTTAGGATAAGGTTTGGCCGTATGATAGAATTATCGGAAAACTCGTATTACAGTGTTCCAATAGAGGGCTAAACTCTAAACCTTATATACCCTAAGACCTGAAACCTATGCTTGCGGCCTCCAGGTTTGTATTTAGGGTGCAGCCCTGCGGTTTAGGATTTGGGGTTCAGGGATTGGGTTGGGCGAGGTCTCGCCAAATTGCTTCACATTCAACGCTGCCTGCACCTCAGAAACTTCAGCCGCATCCTTCGCAAATATCAAGCTGTTGTGGGAGCGTTTGTCTACCCAAACCCAAAACCCTAAACCCTAAAGTTTTTTGGGGGCCTCAAGCCAAAGAACTCGTGGCTAACATCAATTTCTCGTTCATGGGTCGATCTTATGCGCTGGCTTGGGCCTCAATTCGGACCGAGCTTCTTAGTATGAGTCTCAAGTACTGGTATGTATCATGCGCGAAACATGGTATATTAGTCGTTTAGGGCATGAAACATGTAATAAATTATTACAGCAGATCATGTTATTGAGTTTGACCCTGAAGTTAGTTCCTGAGCTTTCGAAGCTCTTCGAGGTCATGGCAGCTTGCGCCGTTTGGGCGCCGCCGCGACGTCGGGCCTCGTTGGCTTTGGGGCTGCTCCGGGAGATGAGAGGAGCTTGGGAGTAATATAGGGGCCTTAATACTTTCCTATACTATTTTTGGGGTTCCTTATTATCTTTATAGTAGAGTGTACCCAAAACCTTCATTCAAACTATTAAGGCCTCTACATTAGGGTTTAAGGCAAAGTCTAGGGTTTGTAAGGTTTGGTATTTACGGTGTAGGGCTTAGGGTTTACAAGATTTTGTGTTTAGGGCGGCTGTTCGTAGCTGTAGTGTTTGGGGGATAGGGTGTCCAAGTGCTGAAGCAAAGCGCTGAAGTTGGTAGGTCTTGACATGCGGGGTTCACGTATTACTAGCACTACAGGCTTAATGTCTCAGATTGTAAAATTGTTGTTTTTGGAGTGTGTGGGGTGTCAGGGTTAGCTGTGTGACAAGCGTCAGGAGTGCGAGTCCGTGCCGATGTTGTGACCTACAATGCGCCCTTGATGCAATGGCTCCTTCAAGCCAAACAGACTTCTCATGTTTGGTGCTATCTGCAATACTGTTTCTGAGGCAATTCCCGTAGACCGAAGTCGTCGAATGTTCGTTTTGTTCAATGGTCCCTACATATTTCCTCGCGAAGCCAAACTGCGAATGCGGTGGACATTAGCTTAGCTGTCGTAGGCTTGGATATCCAGCATTTGAGGCCCTGCTTCGTACCGCTTGCATCGACGACGGGTTGGAGGAAGAGCTCGAGAAGCTAGTTGCGCAGGCATGCTCCCGCAACTTAACTAATGACCTATATAGGAAAGCACCCATCAAGCCACTGCAAGTGTAAGAATTGTTTGTGAAATAAAGCCGCTGCAAGTGTAAAAATTCTTGCGGATTAGATCGGAAGGCCGTGAAACCAAACATGGTTTCCTACGGCACCGTCCTGGATTTCTGCCGCATGTACGGACGATGGAAGCGTGGGTGCTTTGCCGTCTATGCTTTGCAGATGTGCACGACAGGGTCTTGAGGCTTTTGATTCAGATCTGGGTAAGTGCATTTTCCGCGCTTTGTGCCGGGGTGTCGGCAGACTAGGCATAAATCTTCTGAAGAAGTAACATCGCGGGTCGCGAAACTCCACTCTGGGTTTTGTCTATGCAGCTCTGCAGTACTGTAAGTTGGTCGGTGGATCAGGGTCAATTCGGTGGCGTGCGGTCAGCGAGACTGGGCAGCTGCGCACAAGCCTGCTACGAAACTTTCTGCGCATAGCCCATTCTGATTTCAAGTTCGCCTTAAGTCCAAATCCGCGACCGCAACTTCAACACGACTTCCTCGTATGGTACTAAAGCCGTGGGTACCTTTGGCAGTTCATTGCATCAGTTCACAGTTTATGCCCCAAAGCCAGCATACTCCAGTTTCAGATCCGTGTCCCAGTTTCCAGAACCGCCAGCTGAGGTTGCACGTGGTGGACAGCCTGCGCTGGAAGCAAGTTGCCTGGGATGTTGTCAGTCCCTTTGGCTACACAGCCCAGGGCAATTTAGGGGCCTTAACAATTAGCATAGTATTCGTTATAGGGTTCCCTGGTACAAAACACAGTTTAACATACCATTCTACCGGAGTCCAATTATTCAGGAAAGCCACTTGAGAATTTAGCGTGTGTAGTCCGTTGGGCTAAGAGTTGAGGCCTTAGCCACAGGATCTAAGGTCAGGAACTAGGCCCTAAACCCCCGCCCTGGACACTGAGCCTTTTTTCCTAAACCCTCAAACGCAAAATATTAATCCCAGAACTAGAAGCTAATTCACACACCTTAACAATTCAACCCTGCCTAGACCCCCCCCCACTACCCTGTACGATACCTCAAACACCAGGATGATACGGGCTTGGTTATTGGGTACTTGGGGGGTTTGGGTACGCCGAAACCCTGTAATTTTCAGATTCAGATGGTATATCATCAACCCTAAACCCTAAACCCTAAACCCGAATCATCAACCAGCCCCAAACCAAAGCAGAAGGCATCCCTCGGTTTAGGGTTTGAGCTCGGGGTTCGGAGAGTGAGTGCGGCTTGTATGGTTTATGGGGTTTAGGGTTTAGGATTTTGGGATTTCTGGCTTGATTGATGAGTAGCAGAAGTATCTAAAATAGAGGGTTTTGCTTGGGAGCCAGCATTCAGTGTTTGGGGGCACGTCAACCAAAGGTTTCTATGGGCTCGTAGCATGGCGGAACACTAGCTGCAGCAACAATGAACCTGAATCGGCGACGGCAGAAGGACTAATTAGCACTACTAGGTGCAGTCGTAATATCAAGTCTTCAGGGTTATAGTATCACAATGCATTACACAATGAGATGGTTTTGCGGCCTTGTTTAAACACGTGGACCTCAGCGCGCCAAGCCTCGTGGTTGTGCCATAACCTGCCCACGAAGGCCTCCCCAAGCTCTGAACACGAAGGCATCAAGGCCAAAAGCCCGCGAAAGCCTTGGAATCCCTTTACGGAGCCCTTCAGGAATCCGCTTCCTTTCCTCAGAAGCCTTGAAGTGGGCGAAGAAGGTTGCTGGAAAGTGTGAGCGATCCTTTTCCGGGTGGTGTCATATATCCTATTCTGCAAGGTGTTTAGATGTTGGTGTGTTGGAATGGTTTTTTCTGTTTTTGAGCATGAGTGTGCAGAGACTTTCGAGGCTTCAACTCCCTTCTTGCGTCGTGTCGCGGCAAGCAGTGGCTCCTTGCCTAACATCCGAGAGTTGCCCTACATACACCCTTCATGTAAAAAAAAACTTGCGCAATCATTTTGGGGAGGCCGGAAGTTCAAGCTTTCGGGTGTATGGCCCATAATAAGACGCAAACTTTACACCCACAACCATAAACTATTTAGAGACCACCTTAGGTCACTTCTTCTCCGCATTTTTCTAGGCACGCCCAATACAAGCCTTAAGCGTTAAAGTCTTAAAAAGCCTACACCGTACCCAAACCCCAAACCGTGGATGCCTTAAGCCCGGAGTCTCAAACTCGCTATGGTTGGGCGGCTCCAGGACTTAGAGGTTGAGGTTCAGGGTCTAGAGGTGTTTAGGGTTTAGGCTTTACGGGGATTTATCACTGTATGGGTTTAGGGTTTATCCTACTTCTAAGTCTAAGTACACATATCTACTCGAAGATCACCCGAAGTCGATGTCCAGCATGAGAATGTCGTCCACATAGGAACCTGGTAGGTTAGCCCGCCACATCTGAACATCCCGCTTCACGAACTTTGCAAGCTTCATGGCGTGATTAGCTGCTGTGCTGCGACGCCACACGCCTAGATGCTCAATCTTAAGCTAAATCTAGGGTGGCTCTGTTGATGAGCAAGCTCCGGGACAATTCAAGAACAACAATGATTTTCAATGCTGGTGTTCTAGCAGGTTCGCTTATGGAACTACAAAACCTAAGCAGCTCTAGCGTTTAGGCTTGACAGGCCCCTTTGCTTTTAACTTCTTGTCATCTGCGTCTGCCGGCTCTTTCAGGCAGATTGCGCAGAAGCTGCTGGACGAAATGCTCCGTGAGGAGCTTGCGCCCAATGCCCCGATCCCAGTCTTACATTCTGCCGGCCACAGTTGAAGAAGTTGCAACAGTTGCACGGCTAGGTTCTAACCGAAACCCGTATATAGACGTCCGAGCAGCTTGTTCCTAAGCAGGGACACAGGATAACATAGGGCCCTCAGTGATCAGAATGGGATTTCGGTGTCTACATGTGTCTCTAGTGCATACGTATTATATAATAGAAAGCGAACCCTAAACCCTAAACCCTAAACCCTACTAGTCTACTTATGAAGGCTCCTATATATTGTGAGCCGAAGTTTCGCTGCCACTGCGCGCAAATGCGGCGAGTCTGGTCTTCCAGGTCCCCTGTAGCCTAAGCCTTGATGGGGGTTCCAAGAGAACCCAATACCCCTTAATTAAGGAATATACCTTAAATCGTAATATAAAGGCCCTTATAATGTAAGGTATATTCCTTAATTAAGGGGTGTTGGGTTCTCTGGGTTCCTGTCAATTATTTAGGCGGGTCTGGCCTCTACACTTCGGCTCGTAGTATCGTAGCATTACCGAGGCCTCTTGCTTTTTGCAAGGTCTCCGGTTTAGGGTTTATAGGGTTTAGGGTTTAGGGTTCTCTACACACTCGAAGCTCCAACCCGATCCAAGTCCGCTCTTGACCACATCGCACAAGCAAAGGCAGTCAGCCGTTCTGCGGCCATTGGTGCCTGTGAGGCCCAAGGGCTTGCATCGGCGTAGTCGGCTAGGGTTTGTCGGCTTTGGGGGTTAAGGTTTTCGGGTTCAAGGTGCGGTTTCTGAGGTAGTGTTCACGATTTCGGGGTTCAGGATTGGGGTTTAGGTTATTGTGTGTGGTTCAATTTGTTTTAAGGCCTTCACAAGTGCCTAATGGCCTGAGTTCTTGGACCTGCCACTCATCTCGAACACGGTTCGAAGCCACACTGACCTGCCCGCATGGTCCAAAATACCTGGCGATTAGGCATTGCAAATTGGGGTTCAGAACAGTAGTAGTAAGTGCAGCTTAGTGTTGAGAGTAGCAGTTACAAGTATTAGGCAACGCCTAACAATCAAAACCTTGCAACTAGTCTTGATCCCCTACACCGGCCCCAAAGACTTATGCAAAAGGTTGTAGAAGAACCCTAAACACAAAATTTAAACCCAAAGCCCTAAACAGTATATGGTAAATCGTTTAAACCCTCTTTCCCGAGGCTGGGGAGATGTCAGTACCGCGACGGTCCCTCCTGCGGTGAGGCTGTCCGGTATGTTGGTCGGGGCTCAGGGTTTAGGGTTCAACTGGGTTAAGGGTTTGGGTTAGAGTTCAACTGGGTTAAGTGTTTGGGGCTTAGGGGTTTAGGGGTTTAGGATTTAGAGTTCCGTTTGGGTTGTCAGTGGTCATGACTTGACTTGAAGCCTGCACCTGCTGAGCCTGTGAAGTGTACCTGCTGAGCTACGAGCTTGAGAGTAGTTAGGGTTTAGGGTTTAGGGTATACGAGCTTGAGAGTAGGCGTGAGATTGCCGAGCCCTCAAGATTTCTCGCTTGCGGCAGCATAGCAGAATCCCGGTATAGTGGTTGGAGCCGCTATCAATCCGAAAGCAATATTTAGGTCTTAGGAAATAGGCTCCGCGTGTTGACGGCTGTCCAAGCCCTGCATGTTTTCTGTGAGAAGGAAGTGTTGTTCTTGATTCTGGCTCGAAGCATCATGCAGGCAAAGTGCCTGCACATTTCATACACTGAACGAGGTAACTGGTCCTGAATGCGCGGATGTTCCGCAGCACAGCCGCCAAATGAAAGGGCCCAAATTGGTTGAAATCCTTTATCCCAAACCCTGACGCGCTTTCAGTGTCGCTGACGTCCGCAATGCAAGACTCTTTTGAACTCAGGTGCACCTGTTGTTCCGACTCCACCTGCAAGCCCTGCGAAATCTTCAGCATAAGCCCTGGAGTTCAGGGGTTCTGTCTTCCTGAGCGCATGGGTGCTGATGGACGGCGCAGCCTTCTGGCAGTCTGTTCATTGGTTTGCTCTCTGTGGCATCCTGACAGCAAGTTATAGTTTTCGGTGATCCTGTAGCTTAAATGTGCTGCTGTTCTGCTTCCTCATGCTGCGGCAGCTGCATTCATCTGGGTCGAGGGGACTTAGTAAGTACTTACTTTCTAGACTTGTTTAGCACCATAACCCCAATCAGCACCCCTGTTTTGGTACTTATATGTCTAGTTAAAGCCTACTTACTAAGTCCCCCGACCCCCTTAATAAGTTAGCATAGACCATTTCCATTTTCTAATCATGCACCACCCCCTAGCACCCAAACCATAACAACCTATACCTCAACCCTAACCTCACCAAAATACCCATAGTAAGACCCACAATATAGAACCATTGGAAGACCCATACACCACCACATAGAAAAACCCCAACCTCAACACCATACACCAATACCCCCGTAGAAAAACCCATATTCCCCAACCC